AAAAAAATTCCAATGAGTGCATAGATTTTTTTAAATTTTTTTTTAGCTGATCTATTTTGATATAGAATTAAAAATGAATATTTTGATGCAAAAATATATAGATTAAATATTTATTTATTTTTTGATGAATGACTACATTTATAAACACAATCTGTTACATTTATTTTGTCATATTAAAAATCAAGAGAAAAAATAACACAATTTTAAATTAAAATTATGGTTTGCTAATTGAAACTTTAATTTAATAGTTAAAGAGTCTGCCCAAGCCGAATTTGCTACTGCTTAGGGTACCTTCACAAATTCAACTTTAGGAAAAATGATAGTTTCACAAAATACTTTTTTTTTTTTTAAATTTTATTTTTGTGTTTCGCAAGAAACGAATAAACCACATTTTTGTGCTGATTTTTTAATTTTCACAAATTATGTCTAAATTTTCACAAAATAAACACCTTTCAGAAAAACCTAGATTCATTACTTTCATTAAATTCTCTATTTCATCCAGTCTTCAAATTTCAATTTTGCATTTGTCTCAAAATGGTTGCTATGCATTCAAAGCTATGTATTATAATGAAAAATTATATTAGTAAGTTAGAGCTTCTAAAATATTGTTATAATATTGTTTTAATATTAATTTAATTTCGATTAAACATTTATAAAGTATTTTTAATCATAAATTAAAGTTCTTATAATGTGCTTGAATAAAAATCAAAAAAATCCGATTTAAATCAAAAAAATCCGATTCAAATCAAAAAAATCTGATTTTTTGATTTTTTTTTAAAAATCAAAAAAATCATGAACCCTGCTCTATCATAATGACAAGGAAGTCAATAGGTCTATAAGTAGAATTTTATAATGAAAAAATCTCAATTTCCCACAATATTTTAGACACTTAAAGAAATTCATAAGCACTCAAACATGTTTTTTATTTGTGCAATCTTTTTTGTGTGATTTATGAAAATTTCAATCAAATTGGAACACAACTGATCAAGTTATCAATGAAAAAAAGTATGTTTGATGGGTCATTTAGTCATATCGGTCATTTTTTATCACATTACATAAGTATTGTGTCAGCCAATTACACTGCATATGCATGGAATTCTATGATTGCATAATTTAATTCTTGAATGCACAAGAACTTCTATGTAAATAAATGAAATGTGCAACAACATATTGTGATGGAATTTTCGCGCAGCAAAGCAAAAATGCATTGATTACAAATAAACATTGAAGGACATCTGCATTGTTTTAGTTGGGGTTTTCTTGAAATGGACTGCGTGTCTCGTTAAGTTGGTTTATTGCTAATGAGAAAGTTGGCAATTAGTCTCTTGTTTTGTTTGTCATAACGAGTAGTTTATTTGAAGGGAGCAAAGAGTTGAATTTTTTTATTCAACTCAGATATGCGCAAGCGAGAAATAAATAAAGTGATTTAATAAAAAAAGAATATTAGGTGCATTTTAATTTTTAAATCTAATATTAATTGACATCCTTTAAAGGGTTTTGACATTCCTCAACCATTAAGATGAGATTCATTTCAAAGCATAAATTGAATTTAAATTTATTTTTTCTATTTAGATATAAATTTCTATTTTATTTTTAGACATAATCCCTGAAGATGAATAAAGGCAAAAACAAAGAGAAGAGGAAGCCAATTTCCTTAGAAACTAAGACTACGATTTTAAAATGAGTAGCAGAAGGATCCGCAGCTCTTGGCGACTCCATGTGAGACTTTTTCTTCATGTGGTCCCTATTCACTGCACAAAAAAACTTTTTAATTGCATTATAAAAACTAATTTTTATAGCTACTCGTGAAGTTTTGAGTAATTTTTTAATGAGTTTTTTTTTTTATGCGATCCTCATCCTCTGCACAAAAATTGGTTTGAGTGTAATAACTATTTTTGTGAATCTACATTTTCCTTTATTATTAATGTTTTTTTTTGTAATAAAATTTAATTTATTTATTGACATTTTCTCGAAATAAATTCCATTGAAAAAAGTAGTAGCTCTGTTTTAAATGTGTAATAAGATTATTGATGAGAAAAAGTATTCTTATCAATGCACTTTAATTTCCAGATAGTTTGAAGATTCTTCCGTTCAGTAGTTATGTCATAGAACGGTTCTCCTTTGGGAGAAGGTTAAAATAAAAACATCAGTATGGAATGTAGAAGAACTTTTCTTGAAAAAAATTTAAATATTAGTCATCTTTTTAAAAAAAATCAGTATATGATAGGCACACTAAATTTCACTGTAATACTAAGTTTAGCATAAAAAATCATACTTTTAGAAATAAAATTTTTTCCTGAACTAGAACTTTGGAAGGCTATGTGTATTTGTAAAATAGATTATACACAATGATATCTATATAAATGAATTTGATAGAGAAAGGCAACTATTCAAAACATTTATAGTCCTATAAAGACTTTAGTCTACATTATTGATTTTTTATTTTTATTTAAATAGATTTACTTTTCATTTAAATGTACATAAATTTTGAATTTATAATTCAGCTAAAAATAAGTGATAAAAATACATTACTTCATAATTTTACAGACATAAATCAAACGGAAAAATACTTTTAAAAGAATTATAAACTATAGTAACTGCCTTTCAATTATGTACATACTCCATAAGTGTTTTTTTTTTTTTTAACACATGCGATGCCTATGTACAATAAAGAGAGAAAAATTCTATAAAAAATTAGTCTTACAGCTAAATAAGTGCGATCTCTTTCAATTAGATCCGCTAATTTATTAAGAAGTCTCCCTCGTTCAGATGCGTCTAATTTTCTCCAGGGAGATCCGAATCGAAAGGCATGCTGAGCAGCTTTAACTGCTTTATCCACATCTTCCTACAAGAATAGATAGATTTTATTAGCCTAAATGGAAAAAGTGTATCCTGTGTGCATAAGTGAAAACCGAAATTTATGTTTTCAATAAAAACTTTGATACAATTAAAACATTTTATTTAAAAGAATTTTTTTCAGAAAACTCAGCGTTTTGGGTATTTGGAAATGTTTTTAGCAGTCGTGTGAATTTAGTGGTTTAAGACCAAGAATTTTGTGGTTAAGATCAAGAATCAAAAACCCTTGATAATCAAAAATATTTTGAATTTCTAAACTGTTAAGGGATTATACCCTAGCCTCTAAGGGTTAGACATTTCCCAGACATGTTTCATGGGTTTGAATTTTTTTTTTCTACAATGAAAATAAATTAAAAGTTTTCAGATCATTTTTAGTACATTTTTAAACAGCTAAGTTGTCTTCATTCAATAGATTCTTTTAAATAATGGATGTAGCTTTGTTGCATTTGAGATATCTGAAATTAAATACCATAATTTTCCTTTCTTACAGTAAAATATACACACAATAAAACTACAATCGACAAAGTCGAATTTCGATCTAATAATAAAAACATTTTATTTTTAATAAGTGATATTAATAGCTGTTATTTCCACAATTTTGAAGGAAATGAAATATTATTCAATAGCATGAGAAACTTGAGAATTATTGAAAAACTACAACAATTTGTATAATATGTGCATCATCAATATACAACTGATACTTTATTTAATGCCCTTTGCTATTGAAATGAAAATAGATAAACTGATATTATGTGAACTTAACTACCCATACCTAGACTTATTTCATTAAAGCAATGCTATACTTAATTAAGAATAAGATAACTAATAGAACAATAGATATNGAAAATAAAGCATGTTCAGCTACGCTTCAGGCAGATGGTAGTTTGATAAGAGGGGATGGAATTCAAGCTGAAAGAAAAACTTACCTTCGCACTCGCGGAAAAATTAGGTAATTTTGAGTTTGGCCGTCGATCGCAGTAAAATTCGGGAGTTTTTCAAATCAATTCCGGAGGGCGGGAGAATAACTCAAAATTCGGGAGACTCCCGCAAAATGCGGGAGAGTTGGCACGTCTGCTAGACTTATTTCACTAAAGCAATGCTATACTTAATTAAGAATAAGATAACTAATAGAACAATAGATATTTGGTTTATGTTAATGATTCACTTAAGTACCACTTAAAATAGTCAATACAAATATAAAAATATACAAATACAAAATAATAAATTCTATATTATAACAGTCTTTCAACAGTCGACCCAATTTCTTGGGATTGCGACTACTAATGTTCAATTTCGTAGCCTTGTAATTTTGAACCTAATCCAGAAGACAAGGATACTCCTGGATCAAGTATTGGGGAAAATATGCCTCCGTGGTGTGTGATGGAACTAACCCGCATTTGCGCCACATGAAGATAATCGCAATCACTTCTCCCGGTTAGCCTGTTGGGATTCAAACCTAGTTCACCTCATTGGAAGGCGTATGCTCTATCCCCCAAGCCATCAACGCTCAAAATAATAAACTATACTTATAAAAAAAACATCAAAAATAAAATGCAGAATTTTAGCAGTCTTTTTAATAAATAACATACACCTATAAATAACAGATGTCAATTTTAATGCTGTTGGCAGGGGGGGGGGTGCGATTGTTCCTGTTTTCCAGCATACGTCACACTCGTTTGATAGGGCGAGCCCATTTACACATCCATTCATTCATCCACAGATCATAATTTTGACCTGAACCAGAGAACGATCCATCTCCAATTCAGTACCCCAGAGGTATTTTGTTATGGGAACATTGAAGACTTTGTGATTTGACAGATTTAACGTGCACCAGTCACCGTTTGCGACACAGAGAGTCTTCTGCCGGGTAAGTACGCGAGTCCAGCGCCCTGCTAACCAGGCTATCCTGGCAGTACCAATTTTTATAAATAACGTAACTACAAAAACCACATGTTGACTCAAAAACAGATCATCCAAGATAAAAGGCTGGGGTATTCCCTAGAAGCATATCTTATACAATAATAATTGGAAATACTCCTAAACCTATTAAACTGTACCTAGTATTACCACAAGACGTACTTTCTCTGAATAAACATACTCTTTTTTCGATGAATTTGGATTTATAACCTCCGAAATAAGGTCACAGTGGTCCAAAATTTGGATTCCTTAATGTTAATTTTACTTTTTGCGAATTTCCCCAGATCTCAAAAACTTTTTAGGTGAATTGAAAATATTATCTGCACTAATTAATTAGTATATTTAGGGTCACCCCCACGAAACATTAAGATTGAGTCCTAGAACGTGAAGATCCGATCATTAGATCAAAAGTTATTGAGGGTGGTGCGTTAATTTTTATTTTTTTTGCTCGCTGTACATTTATGATTATTAACGTGAAGTTATTTTACAATGGAAATAATCTGTAACTTTAAGAAATAATAAAATCACTTAAGAGATACATTTGCAATTAATTTAGGTTTATCCTCTTTAAAAATGTTTTAAAATTTAACCTTTATTAAATAATTACTTCTTTTGCACATTTAAAATTAACTTTAAAACAATAAAATTTAGTCAAAATATTATATAATTAACATCTAATCCATTAAAAAATTACAAAATTAAACATTTGGTACGCTCATAAATACTATCTAGTGTTTAAGCAAAACAATAAAAGTTTATTTTTTAAAAAAATTATTCCATAAAGTATAAAACCTTGATACACTTAATTGAATTGGTTAATTATTATAGTTAAAGAATAATTTTTTTCCTCCAGAAAAATTCACTTTTGAGAGATCAGTTCGTTAGAGCAAATATTTTAATGCATAAAGGTGAACTAAAAAATTTGAATTTGGACAAAGTTTATTTTTTTTAGTTCATCTTTAGCTTAACAGTGAAAAAGAATTACCATTTATAATATAATTACAATTTATATTTTATAATTTAGAATGTTTTAATGATACGAAACAACAAAATAAATAAAAAATACCTATAAGCTTTTTGTTCACCACTGTTTAATGCTCAGCTTTGTGAAAACTGGAGTAAAAGATACCAAGAAGTCCGTACATAAGGTACAGTAGAAATAACTATTATAAAAAAAATATAATGAAAATTTTATTACATGACTTCCTTCTTCAACATGAGCAATGACTTCTCCAGTAGATGGATTTACTGTAGGAAAAGTCTTTCCACCAACAGACTTCTGCCATTCATTGTTGATGAAATGCTGAAAAACAAGATCAGGTTTAGGAATACAAAACTAACCATTAATTTAAAAAATACAATATTATTGGCTACAGTTGAAGCATATAGTCAATAAAGTAGCTCAACCAATTTCTTTCAAAGATTTTTCTGTCGGTAATCTACTTGAGTAATTCTGATAAAAATTAATTTCGAATTTTTACTAAAAAAGAAACATTTTAACAAAAATAGTTTCTTTTTCACACAAATTTTTTAATCCTCTATTATACCTGAAGTATTCTAATCTTTTTCATTACCAGCAATATTCAGGGCTGGAAGTTCAAAATATAAAAATTAAGAACAATATTGCAGCCAAACTTAAGGATAATTTAAGGATGCTGATTCTCTAATGTGAAACTGAAATGCGTTTTTACAAGGACCATTCCTGTCCTTTTGGAGAGATGAATGAACCCATTAGAATTCAACTTCCATTAGAACATCAGTTCAACATCCATTAGAATTCAACTTCATAGATGCTATTTCAAATTTAACCTATAGTGCAATTCCATGGAAAGCAAAACAAAGAGAATGAATTCCTCCCCCCCCCCTTCAAATTAAATTGACATAGTCATTATCAGTTTCTAGTTAAAATTAGAAAGAAAATTAAACTAGAAGGATTTTTCATATTTCTCTTTTCTTTCTTGAAATGATTTAAAATGAGATTTTATTGTTGGCAATCAAAATGGACCGTAGGTGGCATAAAGTAAAACTCTCTACCTATGGGAACTCTATGGATGCTTTCACCCTTAGCATGTGGAGAGTCACAGGAGAATGGAGTAAGTTAGTTTCTGTCTTGATTTTCAAATAGATTAAAAACTTTTAAGTTAGTAAACTATATGGAACTAAAACCTATATTGAACATTGTTCTAAAAGAAAGCGTTGTGGAACCACAAAGTTTAAGAAATATTTGTGACAATTGAATTCGAAAAAAATTAAAGAAAAGGAAAATACCATAGTACATTCCTATACAACTGAGAAGAGGAGGGGAGGAAAAGGGTCAAGACATAGAGCCTGTCTTCTCCGTAGATGGCGTATTCGTGTGTTGCGATTGCAAATTAGTTTAGAACAATGTTAGTAAACATACAAGGTTGTGCTACTCCTGAGTAAATAATGAAACTGGTCAAAAAGACTTTTTTAAAAATTGATAAGTGGGGAAATGTAATGATTCCCGTAGTTAAACTGGAAATGGCTTAAAGATCGAGATGAAATATGCTAAAAAAAAAGATTAAATTCAAGGTATCTGCTACATTTTAGATTTTCAAATTCATGACTAATTCCAATAATTTTTCATGACTTAACCAAGTTACTATTTTCTCCGACAAAAACACAACAATTAATTTGAAAAAGCATTATAATAACATTAATTGAAATGATAGGCATAACCAAAACTGTTATACTCTGCATCTGCATAGATTTTAAATTTAAAAAACAGAGTAAAGAAAGAGTTGAAACAATAAAATAGCTGGAAAATAATACAAAAGCAAATATTTTTTTTTTCTCTGCAAAATTATATTCTAAAGATACTTTTCCTGTTCATCGGAAAGGAAAGAAATACTCCTTATTTTTCTGTTCTCATTTCTGAAAAAAAAATTCACCAATGACTGGCTTGCTTCAGCTAGAATATTAAATTGATAAAATAAAAAAAATTCTGATATTGCAGAAGTTTAAAAGATAATTCGCTCAAGAAATGTTTTTTCTTTTATTTTTTGAAAGAACACCATAATCTTTAAAGAACACAATAAAAACTTTTATATTTTAATCACAGTAAGAGGGGATTTTGTTACAAATTTAGATATTCGGAACACCATGAAATGGGGGGGTAAATTCTATTTTAAAAATTAGATTTTTCGGCGACTAAATCCATGACTTTCTTTTATTTATTTCAAAAAAATAGTTAAAATCATGACATTTCTTGACAAATTTTGTTCAATACCAAAATTCATGACTTTCCGGGTGCGGAGATACCCTGTAAATAGCAAAAATTGAGTTTTCCATCGATTATTAATTCTAGAAATCATTTGTGTTTTAAAAAATTAAATATACCAATATAAACTTATTTACACTCAGAATGTGCTTTGTAACTTTCTCATCAAATCTTCTAAAAGAATGCAACAGGAGTAACCATTTTTTTGTAGTAAAAGTAACTATAATTTTTCACATAATAAATAATGTGTTTGTACTTAAAAACTTTCAAATCCATGACTTAGACAGGATAATACACTACCCAATTTAGTCAAAAAGAAGGTCAAATAATGAGTGCAACTATCTTTCATAAAAACAATATTGCTTTATCTGAGCAATGCTTTGCACTTTTGAAAAAGCAAATTAAAAAAAAAAAAAAAAGAATTGAACTGTTAAATAAACTGAAAAACAAATAACCTAGAAATTAATGAGGACCAACAAATAGAACACGGATTTAAAAAAAAATTATTCATGCTTCGGAAGAACATTTAAAAAGCGAAAATCATTCTATCTGGTAAAATCTGCTATTTTCAAAAGATCAAAAGGGATTATGTTACTTTAATTTTAAGGAAACAAAAGTTTCAACATCACTCCATGAAAGTATCAAGTTACTTTAAATATATCAAAAAAATTGTAATTTTCTCAAACACTGATCGCGATGTTAAATTTTTTAGTATAGCTAAAAAAATCTCTGGCAAACTGCGTTTGCAGGTTCTTGTATATTATACATATCTGAGAGGGGCCAATAAAAATAGCTTTAAAATTGTTCAAATACTAAGTAGATAGAAGCACTATGTCCTTTTTTTACCTCAAAGAAGATCTCCAAAAAAAGCGCTTAAATAATTAGAAAAAAAATTTAATAAAACTGTTGTGATAAATAAATGAAAAAAAAAATGCAATTAAAAAAAAAGTTTATAATTTAATAAGCAATTAAATAAGTAAGTAAACAATTTTACTTCGTATGCAAATGATTCAACAAACATGATCAAGGAATAATTCCTTTAAAAAAGCGTCTTTCTAAAACTAACAAATTTTCCTTCCGAAAAAATTTAAAAAAAAAAAAAGAACTTTATAAAGTTTTACAAACTTTTCCATACATGAACAAAAGTTTGAAGACTAGTATTTTGCTAGGAAATCCTCGGTTAACTACTTTCCTTAGAGTTATTCCTTTCCCTTTTTGGAAAACTGATTTTTAAAAAAATCAGAAATATTACGTTTTTTTTTAAAATTTATTATTTTATTTCGCAATTACTACTCATTTAGTTTGAAAAAAAAATTCTATTAATTGCTAAATTTCTGCAAACTAACATTGACACATTGTTACAAATGTCTCTCACAACCTGTTTTATTTCTTCTTTGGTTGAATAATCAACTACTTAAGCTAGTACAAATAATTAAACTGATAATTTACTAAGTGTATCTAATATCGTTCCTTGTATCTAGGGTAAATCTTGGACTTTTAAGAGTAATACTTTTGCTCTTAAATATTTTTCATAACTGTCAAAGCTGATCAAATGAAAACAGATGATAAAAGAGAAGAGAGAATGAAGATCTAGGTGAACTTCCAAAGTGTTTTTGTAATGCAGATAAGAAGCTCTGAAGAAAAGGATAAGTCAGCTGTGGGGGAACAGTAAAACAAAAGAACCAATTTTTTATATTAAAGCAAAGAAAATGTGAATAAAACACAATTGAAAGCACAGAAATGGACATACTATAGTTTTGAATCTATAAATATCAACCTTCCTCAGCATCTAGACACCAAAGACACAGAGATTAGGTCAGACACAGAGGCCAACTGGTGTCTGACCTAATGGCACACAAGCTGAAAATTTTCCATGAAACTTTGGAAAAAAATAACTTATCTCACTTCGCCAGCTGCAGTCGTTTGGCATCAGAGTCTGAGGAAGTGCTGGATTTTTCTGAATTTTGCCCTGAGTTGCAGACAATTATTGATGAATTCAGCACGAGATTTTCAGATTTTGAGAGCATCAAGAATGATGTGGCTCTGTTCAGTAATCCAGTCACAGCAAGCATTGAAGAACAACCGGCAAACCTATAATTAGAGCTCTGTGATCTCCAGGCTGACCAGTTCTTTCAAACAAGAATTGAAAGGCAGCCCAGAGTTCTTCAAGTTGCTTCCAACTGAACAGTTTCCAAGTCTGCGTGACTTAGGACCGAAAATATCTTCCATGTTTGGGAGCACATATTTATGTGAAAGTGCTTTTTCGACGATGAAGTTTATCAAGAATCGTCACAGGAGCTCTCTCTCCGACAGTTCATTGTTAGACTCTCTTCGGCTGGCAACGACAAACATCGATGTTGACATTCCTGCCCTTGTAAAGAAGGCTGATCAGCCTCAGTTTTCCTGTTAAAATGTAAGCAAATTGTTTTATAATCCTTCTGTCCCATTGTTTTATAATTAATAATTCAATTATTAATTGTTATTGTATAAGAGGTTATTGTTCAGAGGTTATTGCTCTTTGCAGTTGGACAGCCCTGCCATTGATAATGTCTAAGAGTTGTATAAAAGATATGTTCGGTAAAGTTTTATCGAACATAGTATATTTTTCAAGATGAATTAGTAATGAACNTTAAATTAAAATTTAGACAATGCGGCCCGCCAGGTGATCTGTGACTGGAGACTGTGGCTCTTTGCAGTTGGACAGCCCTGCCATAGATAATGTCTAAGAGTTGTATAAAAGATATGTTCGGTAAAGTTTTATCGAACATAGTATATTTTTCAAGATGAATTAGTAATGAACATATTCGCTAAACATTCTCAAAAACTCTATAAATGATATTAAACAATATTTACTTATACACAACCATAAAATATTGTAAAGTTTGGAATATCAAAGTTTTTTGACCAGGAATTAACAGGGAGTCATAATTTCACAGATAAAGGAAGTATATTGATATTAGAGACAATTATATTTCTAATTTGTTTCAACACAGAAAAAAAAAGATTAACATGGCAATTATTCCATTCGGAATTTATTGTAGAATATTCTGACTGTTTTTTTTTTTTTTTTTACAACTCATAAAACATTTATACAAAAAGCAACTAATACACACATTAAATATTTTCAAAACTGCTATTATTTTTCTTTAAAACCATAATAAGAATTACTTTAGTAAAATGAATATCAGGAGAAGTTATAGGAGTGACAGCAGGTGCAGAAAAGTATGAATTTGAATATAGCTGAGGAAAAACAGTTCTGCTTCTTGATATAAACTTAAACATATTAACCTACGGCAAAATTTCACCTTTCAATTTAAAATGAAATCCGGTCACTTGTAATACAAGAAAAATTTATTCTTTTAAAAAGCTGACATTCAAATCTTATCAGTGGAAACAGCAGAAAAGTTTGGAATTTTCGTTTGTCTTAGAGAATGATTCAAAGTCATGCTTTCGCTTACCACTAAAATACACACATTTCGATAGAAAAAGCTATTGTAAGAAGGAAATACTTTCAAGTAAGCTTCCTAATTATAATAAATAAAGAATTTCAATAATTTAAAATAGATTTACAAAGGATTTATTACTGATTAATGTTTTATAAATTTTTACTTGATTTCATTGCTTTTTTCTCGGGTGGCAACATTTTTTATATAACGGCAGGGCCATATGACTGTTTGTTTTTTTAACTATCGACAGGGACTAATATAGGGGGTAAGGACATTTAACTTTCNATTACTGATTAATGTTTTATAAATTTTTACTTGATTTCATTGCTTTTTTCTCGGGTGGCAACATTTTTTATATAACGGCAGGGCCATAGATTTTTGTAGATTTTCGCCTAAGATTAATGGGAAGTGAAGGTCTGTTTTATATGTTGGCAACGATTAAAAGGTTACTATTTTAATTCTCGTGGCTACATTATTTGCTGTTTTAGTCGCCAGCCAGTGCTTTGGCTTCATTGTAGAGTAGCAGTTGAGTGCAGCACGTGTTAGATTCACTAGTGATAAACATTGATTTTATTAATTTTAGTACTTAATTCTTCATTTTAGGACTTGTATAATCTATTAAATCTCTTATGGTAAGTTTAACTACTTATATAAGTTTTGAAAATATTCAACTTTTATGTTGTTGTATGTTACATCCCATGTTAAATCTTATATTTATACATATTATAATCGCTCGATTATTGATATAGTTAAGTGTTTTTTTTTTCT